CTTCTCCATGGTCTTGATGTCCCACCAACGGAGCTAGCCTTTGTTCTGCTGTCCCATGGCTGCTCCTGTTTCACAGCCTGGCAGACTGGAATGAGGGAAAAAACAATGAAGCTCTCGTTCTTTTTGCTGAGATCTCAAACTAAATCATAGCAGCCTGAGGCCCCTGGCATATGAATTTAAAAAACCTTTTTTTTCTTTTTAAACTGGAGACAAATGTGTTGTTTTGGACCTGATGACACACTTCACCCTCTGCATTCCCTGCTCCACCCCCCCACCCCTTTGAAAAAGTGCCATAGCTTTTCAAAATCCTAAATCCACCCATGCCTGGTCCTGTGTCCCCCTCTCTTTGGCTGTCAGCTGTATGTCTTATATTTTTCCCTTCCTCTAAAGCAGCACTTCTCAACCTGTGGGTCCCAACCCAAAAGTGGGTTGCAAGGGTCATGAACAAACTTTAAAAATGGATCAACAATCTTTAAAAATGGATTCTCCTTTAAAGGAGAAAGAAGTGGGGAAACCCCAGGTTTTCCTTTGCAGGCTGAGTTCCAGCCTGCAAGGGGCTGCTTGGGCCCCGGCATAGCCCCCACGCACACCCCTGCTCCACACACCCACCCCCTGCCTACACACTGGGGGGCTGAAGCCTGGGGGCAGTGGGTTGGAAGTGATGGGCACTGAGTTGAGACTGGATATCAATGTTTACAAGTGGGTCTTGATACAAAAAAGTTTGAGAACCACTGCTCTAAAGCAGCATTTCTCAACCTGTGGGTCGTGACCCAAAAGTGGGTCACAAAAATATTCCAAAGGGTCGTGAGTGGTGACAGGGCACAGGGGTCGTGGGAAGGTGTCTGCCCCTTCCAGCAGGGCAAGGGGGCTAGGGAGAGCTGTGTGGCTCGGCTGGGGCCGGTGCCTGTGCTTGTGGCAGTGGGGCAGCTGGCAGGGCTCAAATTACACTTAGACTTTTGGGAGTGGCTGCAAAAAAAATGAGACTGCCCATCACAATTCTAATATTATTAAAAGCCCACCTCCCCCTCCCGCCGTCATTCTTGACAGGCAATTGGCTAGTGCCATAATGAAGTTGAAGGCCCCTCCCTGGTTATGATTTTAAAATCTTACAGGGGGGCTCTCATCTCTTATGAGGGGGGCTCAGCCATCCCTGTAATTTGAACCCTGGCAGCTTGCAGAGTTGCTGAGTGGAGTCATGACCTGGCTGCTTGGCAGGGCAGCCCGGGGCGGGGGAGTGGCGGCACAGGACTCCCCATGCCAGGGCTGGACTTGGTCTGCTACTACCTGCATGAGCTGGAGCCACCGCTGAATTCGAGCGGGGCAGCTGGGGTCCCCTGCCCCATGAGTCGGGTTCACGTTGACTCGGGCTGCCCCAGGCCAGGGGCCCCGGGGGAAGGTGCCCCACATTAGCTTGTGAACTGGCGGGCAGCCCTGTTTCTGCCCAGGGGTCACCAGCATGGGTGGGGGGGGCCACCAGCAGGGCCAGGGGGGTGTGGGTCGGGACAGGCCATGGATCTTTGCAACTGGGTCCCGGTAGGAAACAGGCTGAGACGGAGGCAGTGCTCCAGACAACGGGGAAAGAGGCGCTCGTCCTCCTCAGGCCGGCGAAGGAAGCTTGCCCCCGCGCGGCTGGCTGCCTGCCCCCTGACCCCGCAGCGCCTCCCCGGGCTTCGCCAGCCGGGAGCTCGCGGCCTCCCTTCCCTTCCCTTCCCTTCGTTTCTCCTCCCCTCCCCTCCCGGCGCTGCGGAGCCGGAAGCCGCGCGGATGAGCGGAGCCAGGCGCTGGGCCAGCCCCGCTTGGCGGCGAGG